CAACAGACCAGACGATTTTTAACAGAATGATTAAGCAGAAGTTTTGATAGCCACTTCCTTATTAGTTCATCACTGAGAAAGGAACAGGAAAACCAAATGACCTCTGTGTCACGTTCTACGAACCCTGTTTTAAAAATTATGAACCAATATTAACAGAAAATAATTTAGGTTTTTTTTTCAATTTAAATATCGGCATGATGGTACGTCTCTGTGTGGGCCTACTCGACTACGAATAAAAATGATCGATATCAAAAATGTCACAGAAAATTTCGTTGCTGAAACAGCGAGCACAGATGTCCACACACGACCCAGGTTAAGCTAAATTATTAGCTTGTTTACTTACAAATCAAAATTAAAATAGACAGTACTTGTCTACGTGTATATTCTTTTTGAAATAACCTTTTATGCATAAAATACACATTCGGCACATAATAAATGACACCAGAAATTTATGCAAGAAAATACGCAATAGGAAACACACCTCTGGCAGTTCTACTGTATTAAAGCAATTGCATTAAAGTGTAAGAAACCGAATCAATGTAAAATTAATTATTTTCAGCTTTTCTCATTATACAGCCTAAAATTCTTACGTAATTAAGTATTTTTATATCAGATGAACAAAAATGTAAATATTTTTACAGCCGAACACCGTTTCATATATATACACACACAAAAGGAAAATATTTTAATACACAGTTTCATAAGCAGACGTCTGGTGATGGAATTTATTATGACCCATGCTGAAACATATGTAACCTATATCTGATGTAAAAAAATGTGTTGTTTGAAAAGAAATATACACACAGAGACTATTTTTGCTGTATAAACACAACTGTATGCCGCAACTATAACTAGCACTTATGAAAATGTTGGCCAAATACCAAGACACGAAATATATTTTGGTGGAGGATTCATGTAAGACTCAGAATGCAAATTTCACGTCACAAAACATTACCATCAGTACAGTCTACAGTCTCACATAAGTTAAAAATAGGGATCATATATCATTAACGTCTTTAAAAACAACTCAGTTAAGAAAATAGAGCACAAGTGTTGTAAATGTTATTGGAATGCAAAGGATAATTTTCTATCTGTGCTGTACGTAAACTTATCTTTCACGGCCATATAGGCTATCAGAGATTACAAAGCAATTCAGAGCCAGCTCACTCACTGGCTTTATAATCTGAACTGGGCGTCACGAAACGTACATTAAAGCTAGGACAGACATCAAGCTGTCGATGTATAAAAGTGACGCAGTCGATAGTTACCGAGTTCCCAGCACCCAATAAGTTCGATGTTTATCACACGAAAATATATGAGGCATTATTTTCACATACTCTTCCTCTGATAGGACCGTCAGTTAATTATCTACAGTCACATTTTATGTCCTTAAAGAACTCTTAACGACGCTGTAACGCTGGTTAAGATTTATCAATTAACTGTAGAACCATAAAAATAAAAACATAAAGATAAGTATAAGCCACATTTTTCGTACAAGATAATTCTATTCATATATGTTACACGTGCATCAACACTACTTTTTACGTGAAAACACTCGACTTTTCAATGAAACAATTAATTTTTTGCGTTACACATTAATAAAAACCGAAACCACAAAATTCACGACAATGATAACACACTACAGGATTTCAGAAAATTCTGGTCTGCGATGTCCTGGAAGCCTGCCTTGAGCTTCTTACCATCTTGTTTTATCCTGGCCAACGCAACCTCAGAATAAGTTCTGTTGGTCTTCCTCAGTTACTTCAGAATACCTTATAACAGCTACATTCCCTGAACAGTAATAAACGCATGGCATCTAACATCGCCATCATCTTAGCAAATGGGTGAGAGGATAACAGACCTAATAAAATTTCCTTACTTGCTTGCCGCTAAAGTATCGAAATAAAACGGTTCCTTTTTACTATATTTTTGCGACTATTAACACAAGCTTCATATCCTGTTTCTAAAACAGAAACCTCCAAATAGTTTGCAGTTCTTATAAGAAATCGGATACCAAATCTTCTACACCGAGTCTACGTCGAAGATAAAACTGGTGTGTGGTAGGTAACCTACGGATTTAGGGAGACGTATGTCAACTGTTTTAACTGGAAGGATATTAACGACATTATATCTACTACAAAAATATTTTTGCAATTGCCTACGACAAAAAAATGGGGTAAAATGAAGAGGCCACGGGACAAAATAGTTTGCAGTAAGAACCAAGAAATTAATGCAATTTATAGAATACGTACTAGAATAATATACACACGTCCTACCTTAATACATTATAATATATTGGCTACTCGAACAGATTAACACATAATAATTACATTCTGTGTCAGGTAGAATTCCAAATTCGTGATGCCACAAAGTATGGCAAAGTGTTGGGCCTAATGACTATCGCTGGAGTCACAACGCATGCCATATCGATCAGAGACACTGATTTTGGTACAAATTCAACCGTAAAGCGACAAACTGAATTAAAGCATGTATTGGGGAGAATTCGCACAGAAATTCTGATTTCATTACACGAACAAGCTGGAGGTTAATCATTCGTAAAAGAGAAAGTTGGAGTTGCACGAACACTGCGAGATCCTTCCGCTCGGTATCGACTCTGCACAATCGGACGAAAACACGGATGCATTGTCTCGAATTAGGATCCTGCCTCTGTAGCTGTAGCGCCATTCACACACATCTACTATTTCACGAACTGTAAAAAGCGCAGAGAAAGTTAAATGACATCGTCGCATTTGTGCACTTGAGCGGCCAAGGATACTGCAACATTTCTGATACCCTCCGCAAGATAATTATGTTAAAAGCAGACATGACAGGAAATCTAATTACAGACTGCAAAACCATTTTCAAACGAAGATACCAACTGAATTCTGGACTAGAAATGCTGCACAGTTTATGAATATCGCTGGAGCAGAAAGTGAAATATAGTCTGTGTATTTTTAGGCAGTCAGAAAGCCACCTGTCCTTCAAACGCATACCATGAAAAGTTGTTTCCGACGTACACAGTCGGGGGATGAGTTTATGTGCCATTTCGTAAAACAGATGGCGATGCTTTCTTATTACAGTCGAACTAAAAGCAATGTGAAACATCCACAAATCACGAAGAAAAACCTTCTTATCTCAACGTGTATCACATCGCCGTTGAAATTTTGTACAGCTGTTTTCATAATGTATACTGCAGTCTACGTACGTTCCAGGCAGTAGGTTAGCAGCTGACAACCAACTGAAAGGGTACCATCTAAGTTATTACATAATTTCAATATATTGCAATGGCAAACACAGGTGTTGTAACAGATTTTTATAATTTGTTGAACGATTTTAACGACGGTATCAATTATTTGGTTATCACTGATTGTCACGCAGATAGGCCTAAACCGGCACCCATTGTATCTACGTATTTCCTAACATCTTCCGCGTATGCGTACCCAGATCTCGAAACTAGGCTCGCTTTTCACGTTTTGTTAAGGCTTTCAAAGCACAGAAATACATGTTAAATACACAAATAACATTCAGCCCGTCAACAGTAATGCCAGTCATTTAAAGATCGAAAACTAGTAAATGCATATCTAGATGACTGACAAATTCACAATCTTAACAGAATCTCTGATTCACGTCGAAAATAACCAATTACGTTCATTTATAGAAGAATCACACGTGAAGTACTTCGCAAAAGCCTAGCGCGGTAAGCAAATGTCATCTCCATACGGAAAGCACCTATCAAACGTCAAAGTACGGAAACATTACGATCCAAGTTCTAAGCTGTAATTTGTGGTGTGGTCTTGTCTCAAATCAACTTGCGTATCAAGGACGGTATGCTGTGATGTCAAAATAATAACCTCAGCCCACTGCATTGGCAGATACTGACACGAACGATTCAAGGTCCAACAGCCGGTAAACTGGGGCGAGTCGATACCGATCCTTAGCTGTACGACTCAGCTGGTCGATCCATACGGACAACACACACAATCACATTCAATTGCCAATTATTGTCACATACCTGTTAGGCTGCTAGACCATGCAGGCTTCCTGGCTCGAATGTAAAGGCTGGCTAATATGTTGCGGTAAGCTGTAAGCAGGAGTCCGCCATAACTGACTGAAAAGCTCTGGGATCGCGAGAGTTGCAGGCTGTGACGCAATAGTACCGCGCAGACGTGGGGCTCGGGAGTTGTGGTAGCGCAGCCGAGCGTGCCCGGTCCATGCCGACAAGATATGCGTAATTGCATTGCGACCCCACTCTTCTTCTTTCTGTGACCCCTTCAAACCTAACCTCACCCCCAACCTCCCTCTTCCCCTTTTGCACATAAGAAACTTAGGACTGGGGCAGAAGAAAGGCGCCTATGTGTCTGCGAGTTTCAACTATCATTCTGACCCTTGCTCCACACATGTCAGAACCATCACAAAATCTGAATGTAAAAACTAATCTTTCGTTATGCACATTTCTTGTAGTGTCCATGAAAATTTGGATGCCAATACTCTAATTCAAACTTGTATGGCGTAATGGCTCATCATGAATAGCGGTAGAAATTTAGGGAAATAAGTTTGTCCATATTTTTAAAGTCCCTTAATATATGTTTTCACTGAAACTGACACGAGGCTCATATGTAGGATGTAATTTCGTGATTAGTGGAGGGTTTAAAAAATAACATTAAAAATCCACATTTAATTACAGATATTCACGAATCAGCTTTGGTTTTAACACAAATGTCGAGAACTGTCTATTTAACTGTGTCAATGATAAAATTATTACGTTTGTGCCATTCTTTTCTCCCATACGAACTGCACATAGAGCACGAATCTAACGGAGTACACTTATTAGTTTTACGTGTTAAACATAACACGTTACTCTTTCTAAAATCACATCCAAATATCCACTGCTTATTAAAATACATTAATACACACATACAGGAGCATATATACACGCAAGCATAGCCCTACATACGTTAAAATATTAACAAGTGTAACCTAAAAATTTCGCATGCTAATTTCTGGTGCTCAGATTTGATCTAATGACGCAGCAAATGTTTCAGAGACCCTTATTTTTTTTAAGTTCACAAATCTAATGAACAGTTATAATAATGACATTAATGAGTGCAAATGAAACGAGCGGCTTCAAACACACGTTCGCGCTGTCAGCTCGGAATTAGCCGTTTAAAGCCGAAGATCACCTAAAAAATGTTTAAGAATTTAGTCCGTACCGCTAAGAAAACACCACACTTCACCATTCCGAAGTCCAATTTTTTTTAACGCTGTTTAAGGAAATATTTTTTACACTCAGAATCATACGGAACACATAAATAAAAATTGCAGATCAAAATATTATTAAAGTAGGTGGGACACATAGCTACCATTGGGCTTTAGAGGGTTCATATTTAATTAAACCATATTATGCCATATTATCACATTTCATTTGTGTGTTACGATTCGATTAATTCCGTTCGTCGATCAATTCATAATAACAAACACGACTGATCTCAGAAAAGGAATTTAAGAATGCAAGAATTAGCTGAAAATCAGTACTGATAATTCTGTTCTCTCCCTTTTTAAAACAGAAATTTAATCAGCAAAGTACTGACTAAGACGAACGCTACTTGCACTCTGATATTCTACTTTCTAAACTCATTTTTTCTTCCCGTTTCTTTTTTGTTCTGCGAGCTGGGATAAAATGTTGGTCCTAGTCATTCATCACAACACTTACCTTAACACCTGACTGGGGCTATTAAACAACTCTTTTCAATTAAATCAAAAACAGATTACACAGAGTCTAACGATAAGGTATTTGTGAAAGATAAATTTGGAAAGCATATGGTAGGAAACGCAAGCAAGCCTCAAGTCAAGTTATTCGGTATCAGGATCGAGATTTGAATTTTGCCTGGAAAAGTCGAGGGAAGGTCCGATAGACCATCCTATAGGCGTCGGCTATCAAATTAAATAGAGTGCTAATGTCGGTTAGGGAATCGAGAAGTATGCTCTTGAGCTTTCTCAGAGAACGTGTTAGTTGAAAACAATTATATGAAGCTATTCCAAAGTTTGGAGCTTGGATACTAAACGGTATTCTTTCACATAACATAAAATTCAATTAATTACAATAACTCTTCCCTTAAAAATCAAGAATTTAGTAATTTACACATTAATCGGTTAATAGTAAATAATGAATTAATCAGACTAAAATTCAAGAGTTTGGCAGGCTATCCATGATCCCCTCCGTCGACAGAAACTTTCTCGTCTTCTTGAGATCGAGAAGGCAAACTTTTGTAACAACATCTTACCTAGGGAAATCCAGACGGACAAAAGTAAACCAAAAAGTTATTTTCTTTATTTTTGCACGTAGCTCTCAACAAATTCAGTTTTATCGGTGTGAAACACATAAGAAGAAAAGTAATTTTTTCGTATATTTATTTATTTGCCAAAAGAAAAGATTAATGCAAACATTTCTTTAACAGCATGATCTAATCTGGGACGAGATGGTCGGTGATGTGATAAGTTATCGGTGTTTATACAAGCAACCGCGCAGAGAATGGAAGCCAGGTTACGATGGGCTGGTTGTGTAGCTCAAATGGAAAATAAGAATGTATGTAATTTTTAAGAGATCGGTTCAAACGCAGACACATGGAAGACAGATGGAATGGGAGGATATACGAAAGGTTTTAGCCAAAAAGGTGCTGACAGTGGAAGATAGATGGAACTGCATTAAGACAGTGACCAATGGCAGATCTCTGTATTAGCGGTGTTGAATATTCGGATTATACTACAAATGAGGGAGTTTTTTATGCTTATCATTAAGAGGTCCCAGGTGTCCCGTGAATAGTCGGAAATAATATATTACATTCTAAGAAGAGACGAGGCTGCTCAGAAAATCAACGAAGTAGAAATGTTGTGTAGCATATGTAACTAACAAAACATCTGGCAAGTCTAATAAAATTCTAAGATTCGATTGTTTCTTTTTTCTGTTTTCCGTTTCGTCCATCTGTAGTGTGAAAAAATAAATTACTGTTTCCCACATTCCTTAAAGAAGAAGCCTTTAATCACAGTTCATAGTCACGAAAGCAAGAACAATAACGCAAAACATAACAGTATGAACCTCTGAATCAGTGCTGCCTTTGTTTCGTGGCTTGATGCCCCAGAAAGATTTGCAAATGTATATCTGCAAAAATTACACACGCCTAATACCCTACACATCCAAGCTAAAATTTTGTACGTCTATGAAAAGAAGAGCCGGTTTCAAACACTCGTCTGTTTGTTCTTCGTACGTTATCAAATATCGATCATTTTATAAGCGGCCTTTCGTCTGTACTCAAAGATAATTACAATCATTTACACTTTTTGTTCAGTGTCGTCATTGCAGTCATTAACTGATAGTCTTGAGATTAAGTCAGAGACTGATAAAAACTTGCGATTCGAGCAGGGATGACCAAATTAATTATCGAACGCCAGAAGTGACCACGAATAAATTATGTAAACTTTCTGGTAATAGATCGACATACCGTTCAGTTTGTGACACCCTTATTTTTCGAAAGAAACACGAATATTTCAAGGTTCTGTGAAGCCACGTGCTTATGATATGTGCTATTTCTGACCCACTCATAATTAAAGTCTTTTTTCAGAAGTTCAGAAATTAAATTTAACTTCATCGGAGTTTTGACAGCCTCAGTATGCCAGTTAAAAAAGCTCAACAAATACAGCAAATATTGAGAATTTAAGAAAATAAGATAACATTTCTCGTGATAACGACAATAACATTGAAGAAAACGTAGTAAGGCAAGATATGTAATCTTTACTGACTAAAGAGCAGACACTTAGAAATCAATTGTCTGTTAAAAATAGTTCATAAAGGATTACAACTGCTGCTTTTCACATATATTTTTTTCAGGGCGATCAAATTAAGGAAGATAAGACTGACCGACAAAACTTAACACACAGGTGAGGTGGAAGTTTTAGTCGAAAAACCTTAAGAGAAATTAGTGATCACTTGGGACACACAGACGTACACATTTAGACAGGTCTTTTTAAAAAATATAACTCAATATTTTGGACTGAACTCATCTGGCTCAGGACGCAGTACAGTGGCAGGTTCCTCCGAGTCCCAAAAAATTAGAGGAATTTATCCGATTACTTCAGCGACTACTACCGTCTCAAGAAGGAATCTGCTCTTCGGAATTGGTTAGTGTGTCTTCCACTATGAGTAAGTAATGTCTTTGAAAGAAGACAAACAACTTAAATACACAAAAGTGTGTCTAATATACATGTTTTATAACTTGGACTTTATGAAAGATGTAGGAGTACAGATTAGATTTGCTTTATCTCATCTAAGGTAGATCATTTGTAGTTTGTTCTAAGTTTCTTGCTTCTGACATCTACTAAACTTATTGTTTAAGTACTATTGCACTAATATTTTTTGGCATTCGATGTATTTTGGCCTCGTCATTGCTCAGTAAGAAGTGGACTTGTTGTGCGAGAAGGTCTGGGTTCAGTCCTAGTTCATTCATGCGGGACTTCTCTGGCACAACGTGGTAGAGTCATTTTCGCCACCAGCAAGTATTTCGGCCTTCTCCTGCCAATCATCATTAGGCATGAAATAATTATTGGTAGGGGCCTATAAATATCACCGCTCTTGAGATGTGTGACAGGTCTGACAAGCCGGAAAGTAATCGGAAACTTAGTCTTCAGCGTTTCATTGACCTGACACTTGTCTGGACTCTGACAATTCAGGCTATCTGTTAATTTGAATTGATACTTTCATAGCTTCTGTGAACTTCGTTCAGAATCGTTTTTCTTTAGATTTAACTCCAATTCCCCTAGCATACTATTGTATAGGCCCATCGGATAGCAACTAATTTAAAACGCAAAATTGACTTTTTATTCAGTTCTAACATTTCAAAACCCATTTCGTATCTCTTTCATCAGAGCATATATTTTCAAAGTATTAATTGGAATCTACCACACGAACATAATTCTAACAAAATTTTCTTTGTATCCAGTAATTACTATAGGATTTGTGAAAGGAAGTTTTTGGAATATTATTTTTTGTCATGCTTACCTGTTAGATGAATGTCTTAAAGCAGAGGTTGCTAAAACGTGGTCCACAGAACACTATCGGTCCGTGCTCTTCATTCAAGCGGTCCGCGTAACAACTGTGATCACATAAAAAAATAAACAAAATTAAC